CTTTTTCTCTTTTATCACACCCTTTACTTCATCATTCACCAATCACTCCTCTTTTCTCTGCACCACCCTCTAAACCACAAACTTCTGCCCACATTCTAATACTGCATTTTTAAAACTATTCCAACCCTTTCAACCCCCCATTACTCATCTTTGCACTATCCCACCTTTCTGCCAATAGTCGCTTATATCTCACCCGAACTTCCTCCTCCCTTAGTTTATACACTTTCACCTCCCTCTTACTTGTTGTTGCCACTTCCTCTTTTCCATCTACCTCTTACTCTAACTGTAGCTACAACTAAATAATGATCCGATATATCAGTTGCCCCTCTATAAACATGTACATCTGGAGCCTACCCATCAACCTTTTATCCACCAATACATAATCTAATAAACTACTTTCATTACGTGCTACATCATTACCTTGTATATTTATTTATCCTCTTTTCATAAAATATGTATTATTATTACCAAATTTCTTTCTACACATAGCTCATTAAAGGCTCCCCATTTACATTTACCCTGGCACCCCAAATTTACCTACTACTCCCTCCATAACATTTTTACCCCCTTTAGCATTGAAATCCCAACCACCATTACTCTCACACTGATTCAAAACTCCCCACGCATTCACTCAACATTTCCCAAAATCTCTCTCTCTCCTCTACACTTCTCTCTTCTCCAGGTGCATACACGCTTATTATAACCCACTTTTCACATCCAATCTTTATTTTACTCCACATAATCCTGAATTTTACATTTATAGTCCCTCTTTTCCTGCCATAGCTTATCCTTCAACATTATTGCTACTCCTTCTTTAGCTCTAACTCTATTTGAAACCACTGACCTAATCCCATTTATTCCTCTCCACTGAAACTCTCCCACCCCCTTCAGCTTTGTTTCACTTAAAGCCAGGACATCCAGCTTCTTCTCATTCATAACATCCACAATCATCTCTTTCTTATCATTCTGCACAACATCCACACACATTCAGACTTCCCACTTTGACAATTTTCTTCTTCTTATTCTTTTTAGTAATCTTTACAGGAAAAGGGGTTACTAGCCCATTGTTTCCGGCATTTTAGTTGACTTTTTACAACACGCATGGCTTACGGAGGAAAGATTCTTATTCCACTTCCCCATGGATATAAAAGGAAAATTAATAAGACCAAGAACTATTAAGATAAAATCAAAGAAAACTCAGATGAGTGTGTATAAATAAACGTGTACATGTATGTGTAGTGTGACCTAAGTGTAAGTAGAAGTAGCAAGACGTACCTGTAATCTTGCATATTTATGAGACAGACAAAAGACATCAGCAATCCTACCATCATGTAAAACAATCACAGGCTTTCGTTTTACACTCACTTGGCAGGACGGTAGTACCTCCCTGGGTGGTTGCTGTCTACCAACCTATATATATATAGTGTTTTTTATGCTGATTTGGTCAATCAAGCTGCACTGCTCTAAAAATGCATATTTTCTAAAAATTTATCCTATGCACTGGTAGATATAGCTTTGAGAATAAACAGGGCACATGCTGATAAATTTTTAATGTTGCACCAAAACTAACTTGGCAACCTCACCTAAGTTTGTTAAAATTAATGTAATATAATTTAGCCTAATCCTAGCAGGCCAATCCTAGATCAACCTAAACTTGGTTAGTATTATTTATCATCAATAAAATGTATTAATTTTGGGATGTTCAGATTGATTTTTGTGGAAATATTTTACTATTGTAGTTATACTCAGCTTGTTTGGCAAAAACAATCATTGCTTTATAAGCCAAGATTGAAAGCTCTGGCTAAAAAAGCACAACATATTTTGTCCACAATATATACAGTGTTGTTTTAAAAATAATTTGAACTGCCAGAAGAATTAATCAAGACTTAATGGGCCTCTATTAATCATTCAATGGTATGATTTTTGTATGTAAAAGAAACATTATATACTGTATAATAAATTCATTATATTAAGCAATATAGTATATAGATATCATTTATGTCCCTCTTATCCAGAATTTTGTAACTATGTGAAAAATCAGTGTGTATGCAATATACACAAACTCATTCAGTTAAGTGTCAACATAATACAAGTGTATCCCACGACATACTCTTAATATACTAAATATCAGCCAAAAATAAAATGGTTCTACTATTTGCAAATAAAAATTTTAAATGAATAAAAAATATGAAATATTTCACATCTAAATATATGTTTAAAAATTGTATTTCTAATAAGTCACTGCAGAGGCACTACATCATTAAAGGATAACTGACAAAATCAGAGACAAGGTGCAATAGCTCAACTAAACAATAAAAAACAAAAGCCAAATTGAAATACCACCATCCCTAAAACTGCCCCTTACACCATGTCTATAGAAACATGGAAACAGCTATACTTGAGTATTCTGCCAGTCACTAGTGCAAACTGCAATAACAATTTTTATGCAACATGATCTTCAAAGGGAATCTATTGCATTGTATTTCATGAAGTGTTATACCTATATGGGTCATCCAGCACCAAGAATGGTAGAGGTTCAATCCCTCATTTGATAATTGCAACATGTCTCTGATCAGACAGGATTTTGGTGCTTGCCTCTTAGGGTATACATTTTTAGGGTTTGCATCTTCAAAATGCATGATGCAAATACCATTAACACTACATTACAATCTTGCCACTACATTATTATCTTACTCTCGTCAATGTAGGTGCTTACTTAGACTTCTTAATCGTTTAACTATTATGTTAATGTTGGAAGGCCAATTTAGGTGATATATAGGCCTGGCTACTCACAAATATTCTATCATTTCTGATATTTTGGTCAAACTGAGAATGCCTACTTTATGGAAATTTTTCAAAAATGTCCAGTGCCATCATTGGCACACCATAATGATCATCACAAGAAACATAAAGTTTGATTTAGTGTGCCAGTAAACTAAAGTTTCTTCTAAACTACAACATAGTGATACAAAAGAAAAATTCCTATCCTCAGAAAGGTCTGAAGAAAATTCCATTTACAATACTATACATTTTTTCTTTGTCAATCAACATAATTCTTTAATTTAAAATTCTGGCTTTGTTCCATATTCTACACATTGGAATTGATCACATCTTAGTTAACAATCAAATTCATGCTTCAGAATATTTCTTCAACAGCAAAAACTGTCGTCACTGGTAGACACAAATTTTTTGGCAGATTTCTTCAAGGCATTTTTTCCAGAGCATTAGTGGAATTTGCTTTTAGAATTATAACCAGAATTACTATCAGGCTGATATTTTCTTGAAAATCACCCTGTTATATATCCTTTCTTCTTAAAGGCAGATCTAAAAAATAATGATTTTCCTTTTAATAACCTCTATGTAGCTACAGGAATATTGGTAATTAAAATATCTACAAGGAACAGCCAATACATTTCTGTTCATACCATAATGACAAATCCAATATGATATTTCAATAGGTTTCTTTCTGGAGGCATTCAAAATTTCCAACCAGATGTTCCTCAAGTAGGAGTGCCAGTACAGTACACATCTGAGGCTTTCTAAGTCCTAAACTTTTACTGTCATTTCACTACAGGCTGCAGAATATAAACATCACTCCTCAGGACCATTCAATGGATCTTTCTTCTAAGAGGTAACACTACCTGCCATCAACATCTCCAGCTTGATTAGTCCAGGCATCACTGGCTTTATTTACTATATAACAAAGACTGTTATACACATTGACAGGGCAAATGTCTACAACTATAGATGTTTAAGCAGGTGTCTATACCAACTTCTTTGGAGAAACATCATAGTACATTATAAGTAGGATTTACAAATAGTGTATAGATATGCCTGGAACACAAATCAGCAATGTGCATGTCATCCTATGTGGCAAGTATGCCCATGTCAGTCTTATTCAAACCAACTATTTATGGACATTAACACTTCTGACTATTTGCTAAACTCTTCCTGGGCAGAATCAATAAAGATCAGTTTGATGTAGCTAAGTACAATCATTCTTGCATTTCACTTGGCCTCAACAACTCAACTTTTGCTACTGCTGCTCCTCTTCCTTTTACTGTTATGATGGGGGTATATAAGCCATCTGTTTTGGAGCATCTTTCAACAGACACAAAGTATATTCCAAGCAAAATGCCTACAATAGTGGTATCTGTAGTCCATTTTGAGAACTGAGCTAGTATGGCTAGCAGCAGTTCCTGTTACATTTGTGCAACACTTTCCACTGATCTTGTGATTTTTCTCATTAGCAGCAAAAACAGTGTAACTTGCCAGCTAATTTTATACTAATTTCTGACAGGATTCAATTTACTTCTAGTGCTGTAGAATTAATGATTTGCTCTTTGTATCTTTATGTATACAATTTTTTTATTTATTCTATTACAATAAAGGAACAATCTCCCAGACAAATAAGTTAGTAAAAATCCTAAAACATACCTCAAAACAATTTTCCCTAGTAAGATATTAGTGCCGAACACATTTGTAAAGAATTATAAAAATATAAATGCTAAAGATATATAATTATATAAAAACTACTTATTTTGATTACAAACTGAGCAACTCAAATATCAACAGACAAATGCTTTTCAATCAATACCTGAAGAGGTGTAACTGAATACAAATACACACCTGTAACAATATTCATGCAGCCTGCATCTTTACTCTCTAGCAAATGCAAATAATAAATCTGTCATGCAGATGCTCAATTATTTGTATCAAAATGCATAAAGACAAAATAAAAACAATTTACATTATGTAGATTAAAAAATAATGTCCATAATTCAACAAAGGACAGGGTAGAGAAGAAAGTAAATGAGAAATACTTCAAGCACAGTACATAAGAGATAATATAAAGTACATTAATAATTTCATACATATCCTTGCTTTGGATATCATTAGGGTTAGCATAATGTCAAGCTACACACATACATGTAGTCACTGTTGTTATCTAGTACAAAAAAAAGTCAAAATGGGCTGAGAGTGAACATGGAGGAACCCACCAAAGATATCATCTTCATGGGTGAAGTCATCAGGAGTGTAAGATGAATACATGGACATTGTCATACTCTGCTCCTCCACTTGTTTTTGTAGTGCATCAATTCTGGCCTCATAGCTCTGTAAAAATTATTATTACTATTATTATTATTTTTTTTTTTAACAAACTGTCCATCTCCCACCAAAGTAGGATAACCCAAAATAGAAACACTTTCACCATCATTCACTCTAGCACTGTCTTGACAGAGGGACACAGATACAACAGTTCAGATGCCCCTCCCAACTGCTAATATCCTCACCCATCCTTCAGAGCACAGGCACTGTACTACCCACCTCCAGGACTCAAGTCTGGCTAACCAGTAAAATAAAAAATATTACATGTTAAAGCTTTAAGTTTGAACCAATGAACTCTGACAAAGGAGATGCGAGTGTGTGTCCCTGGCTATATTATATTATTAGAGCACACACACATATACATGACCCATTTATGCATCTTTTTTTAATTACACAATCATTACTTTTTAGCAAAATTAGGTATACCAATTGTATAGCTACCCAAGTTTATATAAGTAGCACTGCAGTAGACCTACAGGCCCTTAGAAGGCAGGTCCTTCTCCAATACAACCCATTTCACACATATATTTGTCTAACCTTCAAGGTATTTTAAAAACTATGCAAGGTTTTAGCTCAAGTGCTGTTTTTCCTTAACACGAAAGATATGGATGAAGTATAAAAGTAGAAGATTTATATAAACAAAGGAGATATAAATAGGGCACTGAGAGTTACAAAGAAAGAAACAACTCAAAATAAATTATTTAAGCCAGATAAATTTAGAAAAGGCTTATGGTAGAGTGGATACGGGAGCAATGTGGCAGATGTTGCAAGTATATGGAATAGGTGGTAAGTTTCTAATTGCTGTAAAGAGTTTTTATGAGGATAGTGAGGCTCAGGTTAGGGAGTGAAGGAGAGAGGAAAATTACTTACTAGTAAAAGTAGACCTTAGACAGGGATGAGTAATGTCATCATGGTTGTTTAACATGTTTATAGACAGGGTTGTAAAAGAAGTAAGCGCTAGAGTGCTGGGGAGAGGGGTGGGATTAAATTATGTGGATTAAAATACAAAGTTGACACAGTTACTTTTTACTGATGATACTGTGCTTTTGGGAGATTCTGAAGAGAAATTACAAAGGTTAGGGGACGAGGGTGTGAAAAGGAAGAAAGTTGAAAGTGAACATAGATAAGAGTAAGGTGATGAGGGTATCAAGCAATTTAGGAAAAACTGGATATCAGATTGGAGGGAGTATAGAAGAAGTGATTGTGTTCAGGTATTTGGGAGTAGACTTGCTGGAGGATGGGCTTATGAAGGACAAGGTAAACCAGAGAACTGATGAAGGAAAAAGGTGGGTGGTGAACTGAGGTGTCTCTTAAGAACATTATCCATGGAGGCAAAGAAGGGAATGTATGAGTATAGCAGTACCAACACTTACATGGGTGTGAAGCATGAGTTGTAAATGTTACGGTGAGAAAGAGGCTGGAGGCAGTGGAGATGTCGTGTCTAAGGGCGATGTGTGGCACAAATATTATGCAGAAAATTCATAGTGTGGAAATTAGAAGGAGGTGTATAGTAACTATAGGGGTTGGTGAGATGGTTTGGTCATTTAGAGAGGATGGAGCAAAATAGGATGACTTCGAGGGTGTATAAATCTGTAGTGGAGGGAAGGAGGGGTAGGGGTTGTCCTAGGGGAGGATAGAGGGGAGGGGGTAAAAGTGGTTTTGTGTGCAAGGGGCATGGATATATACAGCAGGCATGTGTAAGTGTGTTAGATAAGAGGGAGTGGAGACAGATAGTTTTTTGGGACTTGACGAGCTGTTGGAGTGTGAGCAGGGTAATATTTTGTGAAGGGATTCAGGGAAACTGGTTAGCTAGACTTCAGTCCTGGAGGTGGGAGGTACAATGCCCACACTTTAAAGGAAGGGTTTGAGACAGTTGCTGTTTGGAGTGACATCTAAACTGTTGTATCCGCAAAGACAGTGATTATGTGTAAATGATGGGTTAAGTATTCTTTTTTTTTTTTTGGGTCACCCTGCCTCGGTGGGAGATGGCCAGTGCGGTGAAATATAGATTTAAAAATATATAGGAAAACACTGGTTAGGCACTAAAGTTATTGACAAGTGGAGAAAACTGCCAAGTAGTCAATGAAACTAACAGCTTTGATAGGTTTAGCAATACGTATAACTCTAGAAATGTTTGTTTAGCAAATAAACAAAACCTTATGTTACGGCAGAAAATACATGTAATGGTAAGTAATTTCTTTATTGTGATTGCTTTGAGTTTAACTCAGCAGATATTGATGAGCATTGTTATACACTACAGTAGGCCCCTGACTTTCAATACTTTTACTTACGATGGTCCACTCTTAAAGATACTGGCACTTTGGAATTATTTTTTTTATTATTATTATTAACACATCGGCCATCTCCCACCAAGGCAGGGTAGCCCGAAAAAGAAAAACTTTCATCATCACTCACTCCATCATTGTCTTCATGATGAAAGTTTTTCGTTTTTGGGCTACCATGCCTTGGTGGGAAATGGCCGATGTGTTAATAAAGAAAAAGAAAGAAAAAAAAATCCATAGTGCCAGTATCTTTAACAGTGGATCATCGTAAGTAAAAGTATTGAAAGTCAGGGGCCTACTGTAGGGTATAACAATGCTCATCAATATTGCTGAGTAAAACTCAAAGCAATCACAATAAAGAAAAAGTCATCCTCTAAGACAGATTAAAAAAAAAAAAGTATTGTATACTATACTAATTAGCTTAGATTTTATCTTACAGTACAAAAGCTGTTACAAATCACCTTTCTCTCCCTTTCAAATTCTTTCTGAGCCTCCTCTTTCTCTCGTTGGTACTGTTCTTCTAGTGCCACAAGCCGCTTCTGCATCTCCTCCTTCAAATCAATACCTTGCTTTTCCAAAAGCTCAATCTGAGCAAATTGCCAGTCTGCTGGCTCTCCAGAAATTGGATTGTCAGTAGGTGATTTTTCAGTAGGTGATTTTGTTTCTCGGCGCTCACGAGCTGTAAAGATTTAAGATATTTTTGTAGTATAACATCATTATTCCATAGCAGAAAACAATATGAAGTTCAACGATGAGAAATTTCAATTACTTAGATATGGTAAACACGAGGAAATTAAATCTTCATCAGAGTACAGAACAAATTCTGGCCACAAAATAGAGCGAAACACCAACGTCAAAGGCCTAGGAGTGATCATGTCGGAGGATCTCACCTTCAAGGACCATAACATTGTATCAATCGCATCTGCTAGAAAAATGACAGGATGGATAATGAGAACCTTCAAAACTAGGGAGGCCAAGCCCAGTGACCTCTTCAGGTCACTTGTTTTATCTAGGCTGGAATATTGCTGCACACTAACAGCACCTTTCAAGGCAGGTGAAATTGCTGACCTAGAAAATGTACAGAGAACCTTCACGGCGTGCATAACGGAGATAAAACACCTAAATTACTGGGAGCGCTTGAGGTTCCTGAACCTGTATTCCCTGGAACGCAGGCAGGAGAGATACATGATTATATACACCTGGAAAATCCTAGAGGGACTAGTACCGAACTTGCACACGAAAATCACTCACTACGAAAGCAAAAGACTTGGCAGACGATGCAACATCCCCCCAATGAAAAGCAGGGGTGTCACTAGCACGTTAAGAGACAATACAATAAGTGTCCGGGGCCCGAGACTGTTCAACTGCCTCCCAGCATACATAAGGGGGATTACCAACAGACCCCTGGCAGTCTTCAAGCTGGCACTGGACAAGCACCTAAGTTGGTTCCTGACCAGCCGGGCTGTGGCTCGTACGTTGGTTTGCGTGCAGCCAGCAGTAACAGCCTGGTTGATCAGGCTCTGATCCACCAGGAGGCCTGGTCACAGACCGGGCCGCGGGCGCGTTGACCCCGGAACTCTCTCCAGGTAAACTCCAGGTAAGAAGTAATTTAATAACTTTTTTGTGTGAAATGCAATATTTATTTCAGTCAAGACATGGTATCACAAATGTGCACAAACATCAGTTATCTAGCCCATACTCTTACAAACAATGTATAGAGAATGACCAACCTAGAGAAATTAATTCGTACATGTTGATATTTGCAGAGGAGGAGAAGACAAACAGGACGAATACTCTAAAATGCTATAGGAGGACACATATTAGCTAAAGGACTGGTCCAATAAGTGGCTATCTGAGTTCAACTCTAACGAGTGCAATGTGGTGAGCAACTGCTAGTATCAGAAAAAATAGAAGCTAAGAATGGCCAGGCCACCAACACCATCAGAGGAAGCCTGCATAATCAAACTTTTGTCTGCTGTTTGCAGTGGTGGCAAATATTAGAAGAGCTATCAGGAATTTAAACAAAGAGTCCATTAGGATTTTTTCCCCAACATGCTGGCTGTCTCCCACCGAGGCAGGGTGACTCAAAAAAAGAGAAAAACACTTCCACCATCATTCAACACACAATCACTGCATATGTGAAAACGCCATTGGAGTGTGCTGCTGAAGTTGAAAATTTTAACATGTTGGAAGATGGCCAATCTTTATTATGCATATTTTATGTGAAGATTCCTACCAAGATAGGGTGACCGAAAGACATAAACTGCATTCATTATCACTCATTCCCTAGTTTTCATTCCATAAGTGTATGTGTATCACAACTCAAATGATCCATAGAGTACATCATCCCCCACCTAACCTTCAAAGAGTAGGCAATGTACTTTCCACTTCCAGACTTTCAATATCTGCAGCCATACTGCAGAATTCAGGCACTGTACTTCATGATATTTTAATATATGGATAAAAATTATAACAGCATAAAGAAACATTTTACCTTGCTCTGGGTGATTAAATCTGAAGACATGATTCTTGCCAAGAATGACACGAGAACCAGTTTTAAGAACAGAGGGCTCCACTACTTCACGACCATTAACATAACATAGTGCTTGAGGTTTAGGGTGAATAGATACAACTCCTTCATGATTCTGAAAAATAACAAAAATTTTTATGAGCAGACATAGAAAAACACTTCACAATTCCACACTCATTACGATAAGTAATTGCTGAAATGCAATACTTGAACACATGCAAGACACTCCTGCTCTCAGTATGCTCAAACTTTTTAAATAATATGGATAAAAAACAATTTACCAAAATGAATCTGAAACAAACTAAAAATATATTTATTGAATTAGAAATATCATACTTTACGTGATAAACCCTATATCCAAATACTCTTGCCTCAAATTACAAATATCATCCTAACTCCAATGCTATGTTAAAGTTACTAAAGGAAGTAAATTATTTGATGAATTACTGAAGAAATATGTAGTGACTAGAGATGCCCATGCTAGTTGGATGAATCATGTTAGTCTAGCATGGCCCAGCAATTAAGCACACTGGTTTGTGAATTTTAGAACTCTCCTGCCATGGGTACCAACCCCATCCATTCTGTGATTTGAAACGTGTAGTGTTTATATAAGTTATACTGAGCAGGTTCAGCAACTGGTAACTTGGAAACATTTCTGTGAGCTAAGGTATCTTCACTAAAAATCAATAATTACAAATTTAGAAAGTTACCTCAAACTGGCAATGTTCTGGCATAATATGAGAACCACAGAGCTGAATATCCTGTGGAATGTTCGATTCTGATGAACCGACTTTAGTAAACCCATCTTTAATGTAGTAAAGAAGACACTCGGACATTGAGGGATCTTCATTAAGATTCACAAGATGAGGAGTCTGTAAGAGTAAGACAATTTATTTGAAATACCTTGAGTCTACCTTCTTAGTCTACCAATATATTTTTACTGTAATATTATCATTATTATTATTATTATTATTATTACTATTACTATTAACATTTTTATTATTAACATATCGGCCGTCTCCCACCAAAGTAGGGTAACTCGAAAAAGAAACACTTTCACCATCATTCACTCCATCAGTCTTGCCAGAGGAACACCAATACTACAGTTCGATGCTCTCCAACCACATCCCCCACCCCTCCTTCAGAGTGCAGGCACTGTACTTTCCACCTCCAGGATTCAGGTCCAGCTAACCAGTTTCCCTGAATTCCTTCACAAATGTTGTACTTTAGTTTATTCCAGCACAACACATAGACAACATCAGCTTCATTATGTGTAGTAGTTGACTATATCTTACATGACCAAAATACTCTAGCTTATACTTGTCCAAACTTCCTACCAATACAGATATCAGTACTAGAACTCAACACACAACTCAGGATATAAATAACCATAATTTAAACCTAGAAGATGATTGATCACGTTGACCCTGATCTAAACCTCCATAATCCGACACCCAATCAAAACCTATTGGAAAGTAACTGCCTTTATTACACAGCATCACAAGCCACCACTATCCTAAACAATGCTAAAAGTCTATCAGTACTTAACTACAACATCAAGTCCTTAAGCAAACACTATGATGACCTCCTAGCACTCCTTGAATCACTAAAGACACCCTTCTCCTGCATTATTCTTACTGAGACCTGGCTTAAGCAGGACACAATAGATATCTACCCTCTACCAGGATACACAGCAATTCACAACTGCAGACCAAACCAAGTTGGGGGTGGTATTGCAATCTATTACTCTAACCAATTATCTTGTATTAGCACCACTTGCTTTAGTGATGAATATGGGGAATACATTTTTGCTAATTTTACTGTAAAAAACCTTAAGATGCCTATAACAATCGGTGCCATTTACCGGATACCTCTCACAAACATCCCAAATTTCAGTGAGAAATTAAAGTCACTAATAACAAACAGACAAATGAATAAGCACCACCTTCTCTTAGCTGGAGACTTCAACATCAACCTTGGCTTACTAGATGATCAGCCTGTAACTGATTTCATCAACAATATGAACAACACACTTCTCATACCAACAATAACTAAACCAACCAGGCTCACTGAGACAAGTGCAACCATAATAGACCACATATGGACCAATATACTAGCCCCCCTTAAATCAGGGATAATCACAGATAGCACTACAGACCACTATCCTACCTTCCTCCTGACAAACATTAGTAAACCACCACTTGAATACAACAAAGTCTCATTTAGACTCCATGACGAGGCCTCAGTAAGGAAGTTCACAGCTGGCCTAGAGACTGTTGACTGGCCTACAGAATTCTCCAAGGCCAATGGTATTGATGACTGGACAGACATGTTTCTTAACAAATTACTTAGACTATACAACAAACATTGTCCTATAAAAACAAAACAGATCACAAACAAACGGCTTGGTTGCCCATGGCTAACCAGCACCATTCTGAAATCCATTGACAAGAAACACCAATATGAAAAGCAATATAGACAAGGCTTAATACACAAAGATATTCTTAAACACTATTCATCAGCTCTCACCAAAGTAATAAAGAAAGCCAAACAACTATACTACTCCAGTAGATTCACAGACACTAGAGGAGATATAAAAAAGACCTGGAAAACACTCTCTCAGATTCTAGGGACCCACAAACTGAGAAAAACCAAGAATATTGTCCTAACTAAACCTAATGAAACACCACTACATCCCACTGACACAGCTAACAAGATAAACGACTTCTTCTCAACCATAGGATCTAATCTCGCCAGTAAAATCCCACATACCAATGCCCATGCCGGGGACTACCTAGATGGGAATTTCCCTAATTCCTTCTATCTTGCACCAACTGAGCCCACAGAAGTCACTGAGATTATAAAGTCACTTAAAAATAACTCGGGGAATCTGTCTCATGTCCCACCATTACTGTACAAGCGAGCGGCCCATGTTTTTTCGCATGCTATTTCATTACTCTTTAACAAGTCACTAGAGACTAGCACCTTCCCGAAACTACTCAAGATGGCAAGGGTTACACCAATACATAAAGGTGGTGACCCTACAGACTTAAACAACTATAGGCCAATATCTAACTTACCATTGCTATCTAAAATCTTTGAGAAACTCGTGCACAGGAGACTGTATTCATGTATAACGGCTCAAAACATACTCAACCCCTGCCAATTTGGATTCAGGAAAAATAAAAGCACTAATGATGCAATCATAAAAATGCTAGATCTGCTTTACACAGCATTGGAAAATAAGGAATATCCACTAGGAATTTTTATTGACCTAAGAAAAGCTTTTGACACAGTAGACAACGACATCCTACTCCACAAACTTGATCATTACAGTATAAGAGGCCATGCGCTTCCTTATTTCAAATCTTACATTACTAATAGGTATCAGTATGTCACCATTAAAGACACAGCATCAGCAACACGGCCACTTGATACTGGAGTTCCGCAGGGAAGTGTCCTTGGTCCCCTGCTCTTCCTCATATACATCAATGACCTTCCAAACATATCCCAACACCTGAAGCCCATTCTCTTTGCTGACGACACGACTTATGTCATCTCTCACCCTAATCTTACCACCCTCAACACCACTGTGAATGAGGAGCTGATCAAAATATCGACTTGGATGACAGCCAATAAACTTACGCTTAACACTGACAAAACCTACTATATTATGTTTGGTAGCAGAGCAGGAGATGCACAAATTAACATTAAGATTGACAACACTCTAATTACCAGAAATAATGGGGGCAAATTCCTAGGCTTATACCCTGACAACCTGAATTTCAGCACCCATATCCAGCATATAACCAAAAAAGTATCCAAAACGGTTGGGATCCTCTCCAAGATACGATACTACGTGCCGCAAAATGCCCTTCTCACACTATACCACTCACTTATTTATCCATACCTCACCTATGCTATTTGTGCTTGGGGATCAACTGCAGCAACACACCTAAAGCCAATAATAACCCAACAAAAAGCTGCAGTAAGAATAATCACTAAATCCCATCCCTGGCAACACACCCCCCACTCTTCATAGACCTAAACTTACTCCCTGTTCAGTACATCCACACTTACTACTGTGCAATCTACATCTACAGGGCCTTAAGCTCTAATATCAACCTTGACCTAAAACGCTTTCTTGATAGTTGTGACAGAACCCACAGGCATAACACCAGACACAAACATCTCTACGACATTCCCCGTGTCCAACTAAACCTTTACAAAAATTCAATGTATGTCAAAGGCCCTAAAATCTGGAATACCCTACCTGAGAACTCTAGAACTGCAGACACATTCATCACCTTCAAAACTACCATTAGAAAACATCTTATCTCCCTGATACACCCTGTCAACTAACTACACGAATACCACCTGGTGGTTCACACTTACACTCACTGACTCATTTGACCATAAACAGAAATATTAATCTCAATATTAAAATAATGAATCCTGTGATACTCCAATACTGAATTTATGTACTGTGCCAAAACAAAAGCATTTACATTGCTAAACTCACAAACTAGTATTTAGTCACTTAGCCATAATACCAACTTACCTCATAATTTGTAATATTTTACAATTAAGAATAAAACTAAGTCTGCCCGAAATGCCTAGCCATGCTAAGCGTTCTAGTGGTACACTCTGTAATCACTATTTTACTACATGTAAACCACACAATAACCAAATTTCTGTAAACTCAGCATTGTAATCCTTATAGAGAATAAACTTTGAATTTGAATTTGAATTTGTTGCTTTGATCACACTCCAACAACACAAGTTATAAAAACCACTTGCCTCCACTCACTCCTATCTAACATGTTCACACCCACCTGTGGGATGCCCAAGTTCCTTGTATACAAAACCTTCTTAACTCCCTCTCTCCAACATTTTCTTTGTATTAGATTCTTTATCCTTTAATCTCACACTTCTCCCCAATACCCTAGTTTCACTTCTTATACAACCCCATTTATAAATATGTTAAACAATCATGGTGATATCACACAATCTTGTCTAAGCCCTACATTTACTTGAACATTCTCTCTCTCTCTCTCTCTTTTACATACCCTAACCTGAGCTATTCTCAGAAAAACTACTCCAGAATTATATTCCCACCTGCTTTTAACATTTCTGTTTTGATCCCATCAATCCTAGCTGGTTTACCCCCTTTCATTTTACCTACTGCCTCATGCACCTCCTCTTCCCTTCACATCTGGCTCCTCCTCACTCCTATAAGATGTTATACCTCCCTGGGCAGTGCATGAAATCACCGACTCCCTCTCTTCACCATCTTCTAATAGTTCCTCAAAATATTCCCTCCATCTTCCCAGTACCTCCAACTCCCCAACTAATAGCTCTCCTCTTATGCATTTAACTGTTAAATCCATTCATTCCCTAGGCTTTCTTAATTTATTACTCTCAATTAAACAAAAGTATTAATAAATTATCAATGCTAACCTTCTTGGGAGAAAAAATGCCGACAGTGTTACCATCTTCTTTTAGCGCTACACCCATTTCGGCAAAAACAGCTTCTCGCTGCAAGCGTATACTTTCTGTTCGTTTTAACTTTTCTTCCCAAGTTTCATTTAACTCTGCCAGTAAAAAAAATATGCATTAGCCAAATGAATAATTATTATTTGCCATTAAATAAAAAAAACGTAAAAGTATTCAGCATGTAAGAAATATCAGATAGCTTCATATTATAAGTTTCCTGGGTAACCTCAATCACCTAAAATCTCCAGGAATAATAATAAAGGCTGCATTTTCTTCATCTGATCCAATATATTATCTTTCTTAACACATCAACAATTTCCCAAAGAAAAAAACACATTCACCATTGCTCACTACCAAGATGCTTTTCCAGAAGGGTACAGACATCAGGTTCAATGCTGACCCACTGGACTGTAACTCCCCCCTTTCCTTCACTCCCTACAAACATACACCTAATATGAACTAACGTTTCTTCAGCAGCTGAAGCTTTTAATTTTCTTGATGATGACAGCAAGCAAGCTGTGCTCATTCATTGCTTTATTTTCATTTAACTAAGCATTTTCCAGTAACATTCAGTGTATAGTTACAGTGACTTCATAACCCTTGAAAGGTGAAACAGAGGTAAAATTTCAGACACTGAAGAACTCAACAAGGTAATATGGCATTATAAAGAGAGACAGAAAAACAAGTAACTAGGAAAGACATTACATTCACAAAAGGGTAAACATTTTTCATATTAACAGGAGTACTGTATAAACACACACAATATCTGGCTACATGAATTGGTACTGGGAGTCATGCAAAACATGATGTGTAGAAGAAGTAGGGCCTATTTCAAATACAATTCGGTGACAGTTCTCAGTACAGTGATGTATGGCTGGTAAACTCATATTGTTTTGGCCAAATATCTGAGAAATGTGGAATTTCCAAAGTCTCAGAATGAATTCCTAATTTTTACATTTTACACTGAGTTGGATATATGTGATTTTGCTTTATGCATCATGGGTCAAGAACACATCACATAAAGTGAGGAAGATCTGTACAGCAACTCATTTACCTGCAATAAGCTTCTCATTGGCATGGAGTTGATCTGCAGCCACTTCTGCAACTGTCGACACAGGTGAGGTAATTTGAGGAGTCTCCTTGTCATTCTTGCTATTCATCACTTTGGTGATTTCTTGACCTGAAAAGTGTAAATTTAAAAATGATTTATCAGAAGACATGGATAAATAAGTCTAGTGTTCACCTGTAAAACAAGTAATAATAACACTCAGACTGTGGAAATTATTACATAAATTATTGTAATATATTAATAGAGTATAACATTGTAATGCTTCATCGTTACAGGTAGTTAAATTTATGAACATGTACATGTGTATAAATGAATTGATGAATAGCATGATAACCAATCTGTAGTTACAAGAGAACTGAAGATGCTGTTTCAACTTTAGTGTTTAGTTTTTCATATTTTCTAAAGTCTCCATTTGTCACAGCACATACTGCCTATTCTTGAATACCATTCTGGCATTCTGCTCCTCTATTAATGAATATCTTCTACTACCACTTTTGACACATCTTTTCTCAGTTGTGACCTATTGTTCACCTGCTGATGGTGCCAGGAGGTTTATATACATTCTCTCATACTTTTAGAATCTTGTGTTTATTGATCATCTCTTTTCCGCCTATCAATTAATAAGGGCATTTTTAACATTTGTAATTTTTCATCTTAATACACTAAATATTACCCTGCTCACACTCCAACAGCTCATCAGGTCCCAAATACCATTCGTCTCCATTCACTCCTATCTAACACACTCACACACGCTTGCGTGTCTTTATTTAATCCAAAAGTTTGTTTAGATGTGGTTACCACAGTACCATTGCATATTCCAAATGGATTTAAATTATAGGGTGAACAGTATTTTAGCATTTTTCCATCTGTATATTTGTACAATACTGCATTTATATGATCCAGCAACCAATGTCTTGTTTATAATTACTCCTCAATTCCTCTCTGTCAGATGCTTTCAGTATTTTGCCACAACTTACATTTTGTGTGTTGTCTGCATAAGCTTTTACGCTTCCCATTACGTGATGCTTATCCCCAGGTATGAAAAAAAGGTTACAGATCATGTGATATAACTTCAAAGCATCTTTTAAGTACTGTATATAGAAAATAATATGCTAAACAAATTCAACAAATGACTGACTGGAATTGGTACAATGAACTATAATATGGTGTTTATGTCTAAAAATAATATGTAGATAAAGGAGAAAAAGTGCAAAGATATGCTACAAAAATGGATACTGGTGTTATGAAAGCTGAGTTATTAGTAAAGGCTGATGACAATGTCAATTCCCTCACCAATAGATAGGAGGAGACACGAGCCGTTGCCCGACAGAAAAGAATAAGTGGTACAGCAGCCAGAATCTGGATTAGCCAGCGAAATACTGTAATTCCGTAATGTTTCATCTATTTGTGGAATGCACTGATATTATGTTCTGCAACTGTAAGTTAGGCTCAGAGCCCCATAACAAAATATGGTAACTTGAGCTTCATAGCTCCGATCTCCACTTTAACCCCATTTTTTCCTCCACTGTTTGAATTTGGTGTTTATTCTTTTCTATTGCACAATACCTCATATAAGATCTACATTTAAAACTGTAAAAGGATCTGAAAGATACAAGAGAGTTTTAAACACCATCAACGGGGAGAACATAAGGCCAAAATTTCAAACTAAGAAAATAGTTCTTGAGAAGACACTAATTTTTTTTTTCATGAAGTGATCTAGAAAGCTGTAACTAGACATGAGCAAAATTATTTTTGTGCTACAACTCCTGGAAACTTTACAAATTTTTATGACAAGCTAAATGCTGAAGATGAAACACTATGAGCACACTTCTACTCTGTAACAAAAAATGGCAAAAACTGTTAAGAAACACAAACATATGATTAAACAACTTCATACAAATAACACATTCTTTACAAGTACCACTTTATAGTCTAAATGCAACAACATGACAGGTTTAAAAAAAAAAATTAAATCAAAACACTAAGAAAATCTAATTCAAAAAGAAAAAGTCTTTCTTTTGAGCTTGTGAATAACTTACATATATTGTAGAGTATTTAAATTGAAAGTATAAATGGCACCTACTAAACTATTGCTTAAACATAATCTGATATACATTTTGATAATATAAATGATATATATTACTGATATTTGTTTTGCCTTCGCAAAGCTAAAAAAGAAACAAGTAATAAATTATAATATATATCAAACAATTCAACATCATATCTCTTTAAATGAACTGTACATTGTTTACATGCAATAATTGCAAACAAGTGATACAAGATGCAAAACAACCACAGGGGAGTTGAATGATAGCTCTAGGCCTTTTCTGTTGCAAAAATAAATAAATAACAAAAAGGCACAATACCGTGACTGGAACGATACTCAAATAACCCGCACATAAAAGACAGAAGCTTACGACGACGTTTCGGTCCGACTTGGACCATTGACAAAGTCACACTGCACATCATCAGGACCTTGCAATGTTGCAGAAAAGAATAGGAAGTCCAAGCAGATTCGTTCAGGGGAATGTTTTTCCTCGTTCGTGCAAAAACGTTCCTCTGAACGAATGTGCTTGGACTTCCTATTCATTTCTACAACATTACAAGCTCCTGATGATGATGTGTTGATTGCAGTGCAAAAGACCTAGAGCTATCATTTAACTTCCCTTGTAGTTGTTTTGCATTGTTTACATAGAGGCGAGACCATTTGACCTCAGTAGTCCAAACAAAAGTAACCATGAAAATAGGTAATGCATCCTCCTCTCTTATCCTCATACAGGTAGTCCCTTTCTCTGCCCACATTTACTATGCAGTGGCAATTACTATCATGTCAGTCAAAATAGATAGAGGACTATTCATTAAACTAGAATGGGAAGCCTCTGAGCAGCAGCATTCTTTGATCTAGCAAATGTGGTGATAATTTGTTCAGTTTACATAGCTATTATATGTAGATACATGTATACTAAAATTTTACACACAATTCATTTCAAAAGAAATGTTATAATTTCTCAAGAAACAAGTTTTGTGTGACATCCTATCCTTACATAATAACCACATAAAATGCTGAAAGTTTTACCACCAGAGATTTCTCCCACCTGCTTTCAAAAGATGCTGTTTTTAACTTTTCTCTACTTCTTGTAAATAGTTCAAACATCTAATATCACCTTTTAATGTTCCTCTTCTTCAAATAAACTTGCTCAGCTATGTTATTAAAACATTTTTAACACAAAAACCATTTTCCATCAAGTCCAGATGTCCTAGAGAAAGCCACACATTTATCATCATTCATTCTATGGTTGTCTTTACAGAAATGCATTGACATCAAGACTTAAATGAAAGAAGAAGAAAGAACATCCCTGGTGTAACCTGTTCCCCTGAACCTCTCCATAGATGGTAGCTTGCTCATACTCCATCAGCTCGTCAAATCCCAAACACCACTTGTCCGTACTCACTCTTACCTAATACTTATGTGAAAAAGTGCTGGTTCCAAAACTTCTTAGTACATAATCTATCAACACATAAATGCATATGCCCCTAACATTCAACACAGTGCATTCATCAACTACTGAATGTTTTTCATGCACGTCTTTGATTCTTCCTAGTAAAAGTACTAGCACTGTACTACCTCAGATATTAAACATGTATACATTATTGCAGATAAAAATTCTCCTTTCCAAATCAGTTCACACTTACCTCGGACATGATGCTATACAGTACCACAATCATATCATGATGGCTCTAGGAAAATGTCCAAAATTTAAAATTTGAAAACATTCTTGTTTTTTAAGTACAGTACAGCATATTGTTTCATTATACTAACTCATCGCTTTGTCCTAAATATTCTCTCATTAATTTAGTACTTGTCATTTAAGTTTGCCAATGAGAACTGACACTAGAAATACTAGCAATATACATATGATGCTAATTTTTTTTTACCATTTTACAAGTGTCTTTCTCTGTTACATTTTTTCATCATATAATTTTTATATACAGTGGGCCCCCAATTTTGATCGGAATGCACTCCTGGAAAACTGCGTGCAAAACAAATCAATGCAAATTAAATACCACATGGCATAGTATGAAAAAGGATGTTTTCCTAAGACCACAGACAGACTTTATACAATATGGAAGCGATCACTGGTTGTGAATCAACAACAGGTTTCTTAATCCTTCTTATATTCCTCCCCAGAGTTTCACAATTATTGGCTTTTTAGAATGAAATAAACCCCTGCGTGAAGGATAAAAGGTAAAGCATTATCAAAATTTATGGATAAAGCTTCTAAAATATGGCTCTAAGGTCATATTTTATTAAAAGATTCCCAGACTGATTTCAGTACCAGACTGGTAAAAAAACACAAATCTGGGTGGGCTGGCATTATTTCACCCAGTTCCATCTCTTCAAGTATGTATTAATACTAAAATTCATACGGTAAGTTAAACTAAAGAAACACATTTTGCAAAGGTCCAGCAAATTCAATGAGCATAATTTAAAAAAGATTATGGATGCTTTGTAAACCCTGAGTGGCAGTGAACACTCCCTTAACTCATATCATGCCAAATATCAACCCTCCCCTCCCACCACCAATCATCTATCACACTTCAACAAACTCGTGTTAAAAAACAAATCACATGCTGGCAAAACCACACCTTTTGGACATGAACAAATCAAGGGTCTACTGTATATGGAGAACAGCCAATACACCATGCCTAATTATTAATTAGAACAAATAAAATGAGATTAGTAAATGGATAAGGACACAAACTTAGAAAAAAGGGCAACCTATGCCTACAACATTTATATACCTCACTTACGAGCAATGAAATAAGTCAAAGAACTAAATACATCCGGACTACTGTTTATCTACTGTATTTAAAATTATGTTAACTCTTATTTATCTACTGATAAACACATTTGGAACTTATCAACACATCACTGACTATGACTGCAATTATAACTGCTGCATTTTAAATCTTTATTATTCAAAACATATTTCCTAAAAATGACTGATGAGCATTATGCAAACATTAAAGCGGAAAGTCACATACTAGTCCCACATCAATCGTCCTTGTAGCTATTAAAATGCACCTTTACTTTCTAAAAGTAAAGCTAA